TAATTTTCATAAAAGATAAGCCTTAGAAGGGACTAGGGAATAATCCTCTCAATTTATAAATGAACTAAGCCAGACCAGGATACGTGAGATAATTTGCCCAGAATCAGATAGTGAATTAGTAAGAGAGATGAAATATAGCCCTTGGTGCCTTCCTATTTCTAATACTGGTCTCTTACACTGCTTATTTTTTTTATTTCATTCATTCTCTTTTATGTATTTCTAAAGAAAAATGACTACCTGAATTGTTTTACACTAAACCTGTGAAAGTACCTTATGCATGTAAGACCTTAACTTTTTTTTTGAGCAACAATCTTATTTTAATTCACTAATTGCTGAACTTGACAGATATTTAATGTGATGTCCTCTACAGAGTGCCTGCTCTTTGGAAAGCAACCTAGAAGGCTTGGCGGGTGTTTTAGAAGCCGATCTTCCTAACTACAAGAGCAAGATCTTAAGGCTTCTTTGTACAGTGTATGTATGCAAAAGATTTATAAATCCAGGTGATAATGTATTATCTACTCTTAAATCCTTTGGGAAATGTTCAAAGATGTGTTTTTGTTCTATATGCCATTGGCTTTCTTCTATCAGGAAATTTGTACAAATGACCTTTGGTGAACTCTTTTTCTTAGGGATAAATAGGACTAAAACAGCATTTTCCTTATGTTTTGCTTCTTGGAATCTTACAGTCCTTTGAACTGACTTTTTAAATGAGAAAGTAGACACTTTCTCATTCAGAGGTTGTTTTGTGGGTTTTTTGGTGGCTGGCCTATATGGGGATCTGAACCCTTGACCTCGCTGTCACCAGCACCATGCTCTCCAAGTGAGCTAATCTGCCAACCCCAGAGGTTTTTTTTTTTTTTAAAGCATGTACATTTAAATGTATAAAACAGAATTTAACCTGTAATACCAAATAAATTTGACAACTGATAACTCAAGTAATAGCCCTTCTTGGAAGACCGAAAATGGTTTTGAAGCTATTAATAGGCATAATCTTTCTCTGAGTTAGGTTAGCTAGAACAGGTAACAGCATATAATTTGTAAGTAAATTAAAGTGATTTCCTGAAACAACCTCTCACAACGGTGGAAGTAGCAATCTAGACTTTCTTGTCCCTCAGATAGACATTGATCACTCTGAATTGTTTGCCTTGCAAAGAACTAGCCACGACTTCTGGATAAACGGGAATCTTTGTACTTTACTTGAAATTACAGTGTATCTATGAGATATTTTTAAATTATGAAGGTGACTTTAAAGTTGAGTTATTTTAAAATAACTTTTTTAATGCTTGCAGCTCAGTTTTGAAATTTTAAAATGTATATACCAAACTGAAACTATCAGTGGATTTCATTTTAACCTTTCATAGTTAAAGTGCAGTTAATTTGCTTTACAGGTTTCATTATTTTATCAGTTTACATAATAACTATGTTAGATTATTAGAGTAACAAGTACTACTGACACTACCAGGTTTAGGAACAAGCAACTGAGGATCAGTGAACAACGTAAGTTAAAAGAATGGGAGTAGCAGTACATGAGTATTCTGCTAACTACTAGTGTTTAGCATGTTGTTGGCACTATTTCAGCCTGTCCACAGAAATGGACAGGGATGCTGCATTGCGTAGTTCCCTGGGGCACTCTTTACATAACATTTAATATAAATATAATGCTTCCTGGAGTTATTATATATTGTGGCCCTGGAAATGGAGACCATCGGTTAATCTCCCTAGTCTGAGAAATGGAGGGTCAGTTAAGAACCTCTATTCTGTAAAAATTAGGGCCTGGTAGAAGAGGGACTATAGCCTAAAAAGGTTTGTGGTAGCAGATTCATCAAGTAATGTTTTTTTATATTGCTGAAATAGGTGGACAGCCTCACAAAAGGAGAAAGACCTCTGATGCAAATGAAACTGAAGATCATTTGGAATCTTTAATATGCAAAGTAGGAGAAAAGGTATGCACTTCAATAGACACAGACTGTGATGGGTTTGAGGTTGTGGTTGACTGTGCTTTGATTAATTTCTGCCACTGAAAACATGGTGATCTAAGTTTTAAGCAAAGCTTCTATGCATCTGTATTCCAAACTGAATGCATGTTCAGTTATCTGGGATGCAGATAATTGAGACTATTTAGTAATTAGTAATTTAATAATTAGTAATTTTCATAAAAGATAAGCCTTAGAAGGGACTAGGGAATAATCCTCTCAATTTATAAATGAACTAAGCCAGACCAGGATACTTGAGATAATTTGCCCAGAATCAGATAGTGAATTAGTAAGAGAGATGAAATACAGCCCTTGGTGCCTTCCTATTTCTAATACTGGTCTCTTAGACTGCTTATTTTTTTTATTTCATTCATTCTCTTTCATGTATTTCTAAAGAAAAATGACTACCTGAATTGTTTTACACTAAACCTGTGATAGTACCTTATGCATGTAAGACCTTAACTTTTTTTTTGAGCAACAATCTTATTTTAATTCACNTCCATATAAAATTAGGATCACATTACAGGGGGAACGTTACTTGGTATATTAAGACCCTTTCGGATGGGTTTTAATGAAGAGCTGCTTCTGTCTTCTATACCAGCCAAAACTGTCAAGAGTGAAGTGGCAATATATAATTTTAATTTCCATTGTAGAACTTTTACATAGTTACATTTTAATGTAAATTCTGTTCTTGCATTGGGAGTTACCACAGATAGGTTTTCTTCAGGGTACATGAAAACATTCTGCTAACTCCCAAAATTTTATTCTTAATTAAGGTGTTTTATTACACTTCCCTATGCTCTCACTCAGGTTCTCTTCTCAGTTCAATATCTTATTATTGTCCATGAGTTCAGATTGTGTCTATAGTTTTCTCCCCTCTTAATATTTTCTGTCTCCTCCCATTCTCCAAACAAATCTTTCCTTCAGTACAGCCAAAATGAAAAGAGGGTTTGCAGTTCAGAGGTATGACTATGTACATGTATTTTCTAGTTTTTCTCAGAAACTCTACCTTCTCTCCCTGCAGCATTGTTTTCCCCTTTTCAAGCTTTCAAAATGGCCTAGGAGGACTGCTTTAAAGATGGGGTATGATCCAAACTGATTTGGGAACAAGGCAGCTGCTGGATAGTTAAGTTAGGGAGGCTGTGGAGGTGGTATAAAGGATTGGCAAAGTAGATGGGCAAGAAAGAAGGGAACAGTGTGATTAAGGTTTAAAAAACAAACAAGCAAACAAAAACTGCTCTCGTTCAGTTTGTTTTTCAGCATCTGCATTCTCGCAGCCTCACCAAAATCTGGTCCTGAAGAACACTACTGTATTCATATATTCTGCTTTCTAGAACAAGTTTCCAGCACTGTTGACATTTTGGACTGGATTATTCTTTGTTGTGCTGTGCACTGTGAGATGTTGAGCAGCATCCCTGGCCTCCACCCACTAGATGCCAATAGCTCTTGCCCAGTTGTGATAACTAAAAATGTCTCCAGGGATTGCCAGATGGCCACTAGGGGCAAAATGACACCTGGTTGAGAACTACTGCTTTGGAAAAAGGCTATGTGAGTGTCCTGGCTGGAAGCTTATGGAAACATTGTACCAAGCATGTGGTTTCCTTTTCAGTTAATGAACCCTGGAAGTAAAAGACCTTTGTGTGAAAGTTGGCTTTGCTGGTGATGGAACCTTAATAGGTCCTGTGACTTAGGTTTGATGTATACTTAAGAAGCAAGGTCACTGATTCCTATATGCCACACATGTTCATAATTTTACACAGGCAGATATCTCCAGGAATACATCTCAGCTGTCACATTACATACGTGTTATACTTTTTGTGGCATTATCCCTTCAAAATTATATTCAGTGGTTATGTAAAACAGATTATAATGGTAATTAAGGGGTTGGGAAGTCAAAGCACCAAGTGCTTTACTCCATAGCCTCTTATAATATCTCCCTCTGGTCTTATCTGGATAGTAAATAGATTGGTTTTATTCAGGTTAAGTTCATGTGGCATCTGAAAATCATTTCAGTCACTGGGCGATTTTTAAAATGCCAAGCTTTGAATAGTGGGTGCTGTGTTTTATGAGAATCACCATACATTTCAAGCCAAATATTTTAGAGGCAAGTAAGTGATTATGAACTCTAAAAATAGTTCACTTTCTTTGTACAGGTCTGAAGAAGATTGAAGTTAAATATAACATGCTACCAGGAAACTGTTTTAGTCCGTTTCTGTTGCTTATAACAAAATATACAGAACTGGGTATTTTGTAAAGAAAATGAAATTTAT